TTTTTTTGACATTTTACACTTACAGATCGTTGGTTTGTTTCCACATGTCTCTTATGGTATAGTTCTTGAGCAATTTCCTGAAAAATACGCCGAACACTCTTCTATAAAGACAAATGAGAAAAAAAAATCTCTCCTTTGGGAATATAAGCGATGATAACTACACATCATCAGAACTTTTCTTGCTTTATTGCCACCGGTCTCAAAAACTACTGCCTCCCCCAACACATCTATGCCTACCGTTAACTCTTTTGTATTTGAGAACTTTAAATGGAATTTATGGTTGAGAACTGTCCAATTTAAGTCACAGTTTACCCCTTGAGATTATTTTGTCATTGAGTTTCTCAACAATAGGAAACAGTATCTATGGTTGAAAATTACCTTGATACTCTGTTTAAACTTAACATTTAAATATTTAAAAACTAAAAATATTTCAGTTTTGAAATAGTTACAACCAGCCACAATTTAAAAAATATTTTGCAAGTGTTGGTCTGTACCTTTTGTGAGTCTTCTTTTATTTCTTTGTTTCTTAGAGGTTTGGATTTTGACTGCCAAGAAGAGAAGGAAAGTCTGTGAAATATTTTATGTACTCATAACAATGGCGGCAGGTATCACATGCCCTAATAAGATTAAACTAACTTAATATTTAAATGATATACAATAAGAGTTAATAATTTTTACATCATTTCCGAGATGCTTTTATGCCATTAAAAACTAATTGAACAAACTGATGTTGATTGTAGGATTTATAGTAATCCTAACATAATGGTATATATCTCCCTTCTTATACGCATAGCCAAAAGGTTTTCTTTCTCAATAACATTAGCCCTTTTTGAAGATTTTAAGGCGGCTTTTAGTCTCTTCATCAACCCATTTTTGTTCTTCAAGACTGTTCTTAAAGCTTTCGTAGATAACAGTAATATCTTACCCTCCACCTGCCCACACCTCACCCCTACAGCAGAAAGATAGCATAGTGGATGGCTCTCTTCTTAATCCCATGTTACTGGGCTTTAAAGAGAAAACACTGCAAATTGTGTCCTCTGGCTAATAATTTCAGTGATGAGAATGTATGATGCCTTCTTCGAAAGACCTCTTCTGCAGGTGGTGTTTTCTGCAGGTGGTGTTCCCTGCAGATGCACAGGAAAATATTAATTAGGAAGCTCTTGCTGAGGCCCGTAACTTGCGGAGAGATGGAAATTATTTTTTCTTTTGATAATATTCAAGGATATAGGGACACTGCATGCAAGAAGATTTGACTTACTTTGGAGAGGAGTATGAAGGCCACGCCTACACCGGTCACATAGACAGAGAGCAGTGATACAAGAGCTGTCAGGAAGCTCCACAGTTCCTTGCTGAGCAGCTTAATTTCTTAATTACAAAAACAGAAAGAAACACAGTCACTATTAAAACCTGTTTTTTCAAATACATTAGTATAAAGTATCCTTGACACAGCATGTTAGAGGTGAAACGTGAACTTACTCTGCTTGCCTATTCATAAACTAGACCTCAAAAGGTACTCAAGTATGTGATAGTTAATGCCAGTTCATCAGTTCTTTAAATATGTTAAACCAAAAATGTTACTTGTTTTTAAAAATTAAAAAAATTCAACCAACCATTTGTCGTATTGCTGAGCATCACTTTTTAGATAAAGGATTATTCAAAGTTAGATAAACATTTCCAGACAGTTTGTTCAGGGGCATCTAAAATCTCTTTTGGTAGAAATGGTTTACCAGCATCATCAAGAGCCAGCCTATGTGGTTAAGATACTTTCACATGTATTTGTTAAGGACGATATTTATAACCTTGGAACTGGTACACATAGCTGAAGAGTCCATCTGTGAAAGAACCTGGGAAGGCCATACATTGAGGAGCGCAGTGCTCACTGCATGCTTGAAAGACAGGCACTTTTACCGAATGTGCTCTTCTTTTCTTTATGATAAAATTCTGGAAATAAGAGTTATTGAATCCATTTTCACATTCGGAATGTCTCTGTCCTTGCAGAAATTGTCTTGTGCTCTGGGTAGGAGATTAAGTAACATGCCATGTCTCCAATTACCTGACTATTTGGAGTACAAAATACAATTAGATTTGTACTTAATGTCTGAATAGCCTGTGCTTTCCAACTAAATATCCCATAGAGGAGGCTGGGCGTGATTGCTCATGCCTGTAATCCCAGCACTTTGGGAGGCCGAGGCGGGCAGATCACTTGAGGTCAGGAGTTTGAGACCAGCCTGGCCAACATGGTGAAACTCCATCTCTACTAAAAATACAAAAATTAGCTGGGCGTGGTGGCACATGCCTGTAATCCCAGCTACTCAGGAGGTTGAGGCAGGAGAATCACTTGAACCTGGAAGGTGGAGGTTGGTTGCAGTGAGCTGAGATCGTGCCACTGCAGTCCAGCCTGGGCGACAGAGCAAGACTCTTGTCTCAAAAAAAAAAAATCCCACAGATGCTTATCCTGTGAATGCAATTTATGCAGCATGCATTTTTATTTTTCAAACTAACAAATTAACCGCATCTATATAACTTAAATAAAAAAGCTTCAGTGCTAAATTAGGAGCTCTGTAGAAAAGACAGGAAGTTGCCATGTCTGCCTTAACACTTTCAATTCTGCCTTTCACTTTCACTTCACTTTCTATAAGCCTTGCAGTTTTGAGATCTTCATCTTTTCACAAGCCGTTTTTCCTTTTGACTAACATGTTATTAGAAGGCTAATGCAGTGAGACATACCAATCTCTAAAGCTGTGTGTGTTCTCATATCAGTAGCTAACGTTTATTATTTGCTATATGTCGGGCACTATTAAAAATGCTTTATGTGCCTTAACTTGTTTATAATTTAGCTGACAGCTGAGAATAAACTAAGGTTAAATGACATTTGAATATCAAAAGCCCGTTAGAACCCTAGTAGTTTAAAAGCAGGGATTATAATACTGGATGATTCACCTTCCTCAGAGTCCTATTTTGAAATCAAAGGGCTGGTCGATTTTGAGTTCATGTTTTAACAATCTCAGTGCTCATCGTACCAGGGTACTTCCTACGGGAAGAGACCCCAATAAGGTGAGGAATTGCTGCTGTTCTCTTTTTTCTTTCAGAATCATGTAAAGCTTTTTCTCTGAAATTCCCTTTTTTTTTTTTTTTTCTTGGAAATTTCTTAATCTCAGTCTACTCAAGGGAATGACTTGGTGAAATTACTGATAGGATTTAGCTATGTTTGATGGCCTTGCTCGGGTGAGGAATTGTCATGGGTTTTATCAAATCTCAGGAAGTAAGAGTCATCACTTTCCGTTCACTGATGACCAGGCGGAATGGGAAGGGTCAGGGATCCCTTAGTAGACTGATGACCAGGCGGAATGGGAAGGGTCAGGGATCCCTTAGTAGGGATCCCTCCCAATCTGTGCTTATTTTCCATGTTGCATAGTTTCTCTGGGTCCAATTTATTGATCTTCTACACTTCTCTAGTGCTTTGTTCTAGGTGGTGCATTACCAGACTAGTTCCTGAGAAAGCTGATAGTTACTCACCACAAGCTTCCCTTTGGACATGGTACTTTATGCTAAGTCACTGTGATATACAAAAGGGATGAACATGGCTGGTTAGCTGCCACTATGGAGAGAGAATAGAGCACCCAGCAAATCACTGACTTGTGTTCGTGGATGTTCGAGATAGATTGGAGTAGTTCTTTGGTTTTGTTTTTCTGAGACAGAGTCTTGCTCTGTCGCCCAGGCTGGAGTGCAGTAGTGCGATCTCGGCTCACTGCAGCCTTCGCCTCCTGGGTTACAAGCAATTCTCCTGCCTCAGCCTCCCAAGTAGCTGGGACTACAGGTGCATGCCACCACACTCAGCTAAGTTCTGTATTTTGAGTAGAGATGGGGTTTTACCATGTTGACTAGGCTGGTCTTGAACTCCCGACCTCAAGTGATTTTGCCTGCCTCAGCCTCCCAAAGTGCTGGGATTACAGGTGTGAACCACCACACCCAGCCAGTTGGAGTAGTTCTTTAGTCCAAACCTCACGGTGACTTGTGCTCAGATCACACCCTTCACTGGCTAGGGTATTAACATAGCAAATTTATCTCCTGATTTCTGCATGTGAGTGAGGTAATGGTTTTACAGGCCTGAACAAGATGCAGTGATGCACTGAAATAAAGCCTCGCTGACTGACCTCTTACCACCAGTGTGGTCCCTCCTCCCGTCTGCTTAGCTCTCGCTTCCGGCACACTGGGGAATGCTATTCCACAGATGTAAATTGCACTGTCGTTTGCAGTCACTCTGTTTACAGTGAGGGAAACTTGGTTTTCCATGAAGGCTTCCCTCACTGTGAACTTGTCTGCCTCACTTTTGCACCCGTCCAAGCACAGGTTCTCAGGCTGTTGAGTCCCGTAGCGAAACCACAGGCGTGTTGGTTGCTCAGAAGGGCATCCGGTTGCGGAGAAGGTGCACTTTATGGTGACGGCCTCGTGAGTGTAGTCCACTTCTAGGTACCATGGTTGTGTGACAGAGACAGTACAGGCGCCCACAGCACCTGCGGGAGGAAGCAGATGAGTGGGTTAATGGGCCTGTCACCTCACTGTCTGCACTTTTATTTTACTTATATTTTTGAGGTAGGAAACCCAGCCATTCTGTTATTTTTCTTACCTTAATCCCAATATAAATAAGACTAAAAACAGACACCAGTGGTCCTCACTTGTCCCAACTCCTGTTTTTTGTTGACTTGCTGGGTCACATGATGTCTGTTGACTTGAGGCCAGCCCTAGAGAGGCTTCAGGGGAACAGAGCCCTGCACAGAGGTGGCACTGTATTGGAGTCAGAAGTTTGGGGTCTGT